CACACACACACACACACACACACACACACACACACACACACACACACACACACCTGTTTCATGTAAGTTGGCAGTTTGTTGTGAATTATAGCAGACGTGTGTGTGTGCTGTATCTGTTTAGAATAAATAATAAATGAGGTAAACAAAGACGTTGGTTCTGATTGGACAGAGAAACTTTTCCTTTAAAAGTCATAAATGTGTCTCGACTGATCGTCTGGTCAGCTGAAGAATCCGTCGTCGGAACGTCGCAGCGTTGCAGCGTCTCTGCAGATCGGTGCTTCGTAAACAGACACGGGTCCCGCTCGGCCACGCTCCCCCCTCTGAACGTGAATCATCGCCGCTCGGCTGGCGCGCCGCCTCCTCCGCGGGGGTGGCGGTCGTCATGGCAACGTCAGGAATAAAACAACTGCTCGGTCGACAAACTGGACGAGTCACGCTTGACTTAGCGGGAGGTTAAAATAACACCCGTCAATCATCCAAGCAGTGCGAGGCGCACCGGGGCCCCTCCTACATCCTGCTCCACCTGAACCAGGGGACCCACATTTAAAAAACCCCAACCCCCCAACCCTAACCCCCCAACCCCAACCCTTACTGCAGCACATGCTGCTGTCATCAGAACAGAACAGCCCTTTACTGTCATTAAATTGTTCGTTTTACAGGATTCTTGTGTCTCCGTTGTTCAGGTTTCCTTTTGGTTTATAAAATAAAATAAATGACACACAGCAGTTTGTGGGATTTGTCTTTTCGTGTGTTTGTTACGTGGGCCTTCTGTCCGTGAGCAGCGAACAGCCATGTTTGCAGTGGTGTGTTTGGCACTCTGCGTCTCCCACAGACTTAAACACACGTCTGTGTCGTGTTTTCTGTGTCTGTGCTCCTTCTGCAGGCTTGTAGGTACGTTGCATTTGTTTACAGGGTCACACATGTTTTTAATAAGATCCAAAGTCTGTGACAGACATGTGAGTTTGTCTGTTTTAACTCGTGTCACATGACCTGACCTTCAAACAGCAGTGCAGACACGCTCACTTCAGTCCCAGACACCAGTGTTGTGGTCGTTCCCTTGTGTGGATGCTCTCCTGCACACACCCTTCCTCTCTGCCTCAGGTTGTTTCCATGACTCTAAAAACTTGTAATCAAAGCTTTTTCTTGATGTTTCTGAAACGTCAGAGATCAAAGTGCAGAAACTGATGTAAGGTTTACAAACTGAGCACGCTCAGTGGCTTCACAGCTTCATTACGTAACCCTGAGACGCTGCAGAGCAAACAGCAGAAGAAGAAAACAAATCTCCTGGCAACGTCTGTGTTGAACAGCTAAACACTACACCCACCCTCGTCATCATCATCGTGTAATCAGTGAGTCAGAGCAGTCTGGAAGGATCATAGCCAGGATCAGCTCACACACCTCCAACATGGCCGACATCATTAGTCCTAAACAGGCCAGATGTAAAAGCTCCGCCCCAAAAAGACGAAAGTGTAAAAACCTTAAAACAGGCGACGTGTTTGCTCGTTCGAGCGCCTGTGGAACTTACACAGGACCTGATTTGATGCTGTCACGTGTTTTGGAACATGGGTGAAATATGTGCAGTCAGCCTCACGTTACACAACATCTTTAGTGCTGACGACAAACTGAGCATGTGCAGAAACAACTTCTCTTTGATTTAATGACGTCTACATCACTCGCACCGTCACAACTTTATCACAAACAGCTGCACAAAGAGGCGGGGGATGTGAGAATACGCACAATAACGATGAAGTCAAAACGTCCACCAAAACCTTCTGTGATAAACTTTGTGCGGCTGGAGTTCAAACCGGCCCACTTTAACCTACAGACTTCCTGAGTGAAGTCAGCGCTGGCATCGGTGCGTCTCGCTGTGTTTATTAAAGGTGTATTGTTGCAGAGCCACAATGGAACAAACACAGAGCTAAAAATAGAGCCAGAGGAAGGAGGGAGGAGGAAGAGGAGGCGGCTCTCTGGAGAGAAAGGCCACAGCAGCACTTCCTCCCGTCACGGCAGCGTCGCTACCATCAGGAACCTTTTATTGGGTGTAGCGTGGAGATCTGTGTTTGCGTTCTGTTTATGTCACGTGAAGCAAAAACAGAATCGACGGCTGCAGAGGTCAGAGGTCACAGAGAAAAGGGAAGCTGTGCATGTGTGTGTGTGTGTGTGTGGAGGCCACAGTAACTCTGAGGCCTCATGGGGACATTTGTGGAAGAGCACACAAGCCCCGCCTTTACCTGTGCAGCGTCACGTTCAGGCACATAAACAACACCGATCACATAACTGTCTACTTCATTTACCTGCTCAGCATCAGCCATCCTTTAGCTGATGGTCCAAGTTACCAGTGAACTTCAGCTTTGAAACATTTTATCCGCTAACTTTAGCTAACGTTAGCTAACATGAATATTTGTACAAACACTGGACTTAGAATCACAGGCAGCATTTAAAGTTATCAAAAGACAGCATGTCTCACCGGCGGTGGTTTAGCTACCACGCAGCAGCCCATCTTGTGCCAGAAGTCGCTCATGCTGAGGCTCGGTCTGTCCGACGGCCGGACGCTGCTCTCTGCTGCTGCCCTGCAGGCCAGAGGAGGAACTACAGCCTGAGGGTAATCCTGGGGCATTCAGGCCAAAAACTTGACTGACGACAAAGCTCAGATGCCTAAACTCCCAAAATGCCGGCGCAGGCTGGAGTCGGGATGTCCCCGATTAATTCAACGGCTCTTTAGCAGATGAAGAAAAAAAACGTGTTTATTCTACAAATCTGGTGAAAAAAAAAAAAAGGTCAAATCCAAAGTGTGGAGAGTTCAAAGCTGCACGTTCACGCACGATCTGTGGAGAGAGAAACGTTCATCTGATTAAATGACTACTATCATCATCACAGCTTTAACAGCAGGAAGTTCACAGGCTCCACCTTCACTTTACACCTAGCTACACATTTATATCCAGCCTGCTTTATTTTGAAAATCCTGTATGGATAGATTAAGTTAATAGAAACACCTGGACCATGCTGGCTGTCAGAGACCATCTGATTTATTTGTAGTTTTTTAAAAAAAGTTTCACAAATATTGTCAGTTTGATTAAAACACTAGTAACTAATCATGCTGAAAATACTTCAGTTATTACTGCTTACATAAAGGCTCTCTGAGCTCTGCAGGTTCAAACATGAACGGCTGAAACTCTCACAGCACAGCCTTCACATCTCTCCTGCTGTGATTTCCTGTGAACGCTCACATGTCCTTACAGCAGCACCAATGCAGAGAAGGAACAGCAGATTTACACACAGCGATGAAATGACTGCGAGCCCAACATCTGAGACCCAAAACCCACAGAAAATTCCCCCAAACGTCCCCACATGGCAGGAAAACAGGAACGCAGTGAGACACCCAGCTACGCGGGAACCCTCAGAGACGTCAACAAGGCAAACACACCGAGCATGACTAAACACTGGGTGTGTCCAAACACACAGTCCTGCTGT